ATTCACTAAATGGCCGGAAGTATACATCATGCCAAATTGTACAACGTCAGAAACGATCCGCAAGTTGTCTATCCTATTTAGCAGTTTCGGAGTGCCAGAGACCTTAGTGACGGATAACGGCTCTCAGTTTGCCGCAGAATCGTTTAAACATTTCTGCAGAACAAACGGAATAAATCATCTTCGTTCTCCACCCTATCATCCACAATCAAACGGACAAGCAGAGCGCTTTGTGGACACTTTTAAACGAGCATTACTGAAAGGGGGAGGAGAAGGGACGACTGAGCAGGTGATCACAAAATTTCTGACATCATACAGATCCACCCCAAACCCAAATGTTCAAGACGGCAAATCTCCCGCGGAAGCCATGTTTGGAAGGCGTATTCGAACAGTCTTCGATGCCATGTTGCCATCCAAACCAGTGGATGAGCGTAGTCGCGACCCAAGTATCCGGAACTTCAGTATTGGCGACAAGGTCTACATTAAATCCTACATCGGGAAGAACCGATGGGAGCCGGGCGAAGTGGTGCAAAAACTGGGAAGAGTACTGTACAAAGTTCGAGGAGCTTTTGGGACATGTATACGTCATACAAATCAAATCCTTAAGGACAAAAGGACAGTGCAGACTCGAAGTAACCGGCCGACTTTCCCGTTAGAATTAATCTTAGACGCACCAATGCCACAAACGCCCAGGAACACTGAAAAGAAGTCTTGGACAAGAAAGACGACAAGAATAATGGGACGCCGTCGCAATCCAGTTATCAAACTACAAGTGGATCCCAGAAAGAAATCTTATTCGGGGGAGGTGTTGGGTCGGCTTCCGGAGAACTTCAACGGAGCCTCCAGAGGCCCACAAGGAGCCGAAGAGTCCTGGCCAATCAGAGTGTGATGGAACGTTCTAGAATTCCAACGTGGCGTGCTACTATTGGTCGGTAGCATAATGTGCTGTTATCGGATTGGCTGTAAAATGATGTTGATTTAACAGACGCCAAAATCTATAAATACCCATGATTTTCTGTACAAAGATGAACCTTGGAATAAAGTGCTTTCTCTCATTCTTGTGTCTTCTCTCTGGAGTTCAAGTCGCTGTGTAGTTCTAGACTGCGGGTTATCGGATTAGCTTAGGAATCGTATATAGCGTTCAACCTATACGTCTTATCATATATATATATTCAAAGAAAACAGAAACTGTGACTGATCGAGTAATAGTGAATAGAATAAATGGAATAACCATCATTCACAAATTGCACATATATGGATTAATAAAAAGTTAGATTGATTCTGTAACATGAAAAAGAAAAGGAATTTTCTGCCATGCAAATAAAGTTTGTTGTTATGCCATCTGATTATTTTCACAAGCTCCATAAACAAAACAAAAAAACTTTATTTTTCATAGTTTTCTGTAATGATCTATTTCATTACACGGAATGCTTGATGGGAATAAATTGAAACAAAAATATTCTATTAATATTAAGGAACATTTCTATTCATATAAGAAACTCATGAAACTTACATAAAAACGAAACTTAATTACTTTATTTTATTATATATATCTTTCAATAGTTGAAATCAGGAGTCAATTGAAGCTAGACCACCATAGAAAACCTGGAAGCATTGGACGGCCGTTTCGTCCCAGTGTGAGACTTTTCAGCAATGTGCATCCACGATCCCACACACCTCCGCGAGATTCGAACTCAGGAACTATCAGTCTCGCGCGCGAGCGCTGAACAACTAGCTCACTGAGCCGGCGTCGCTTGAGATCTTGTAATATTATAACTAAATAATGATTAACCACGAAAAATGAACATCAAACGGTTGAACATTTGATTAACCAAAAGAAAATTTATACAGCTAAATACAGTTAGACGGTGGTGCAGTTTTATGGATTGGTTGAAGTTAGACAATAACAGCGTTCGACGCCGGCTCAGTGGTCTAATACTTAAGCGCTCGCGCACGAGACTGATGCGTCCTGGGTTCGAATCGCGCGAGAGGCGGAATCGTCAATGCGCACTGCTGGAGAGTCCCACACTAGAACAAAAGGACCGTCCAATGCTTCCAGGTTCTCTATGGTGGTCTAGCTTCAACTGACTCATGATTTCAATTATTGAAATTTCTAAAATCTCCACAAAACCCATTCTGATTATAAATACATCTTTGTTAGACAATCATATTATGGTTAAAATGCTTAAATTATAAAGGGAATAAACAAAACCACATTTGTTATAACTTTTACCCCATTAATATATAACGTAATGATACCGCCAATTAGAGAATAGCAATTTATCGACGGGATCAATGACGCATAAACCAGTACAAGCAGTCAAGATTCCTTATCTGTTCTTCTTCCAACCTAGCATTGTCCGTTGGGTCTAGAACATCAATAACAGCTTCCGTGACATGAATCATGTATTTCAAACATACTGAGTTTATATACTAACCAAACAGACCACATCACACCATAAAACAGAAAATGACATTTGTACAAGATCTAGCCAAAAGTGGCTATGAATCTGGGAGACATTAATTAATAAACTGGGCATAACTCAAAACGTTAAATCGTATAATAATAATAATAATAATAATAATAATAATAATCTATAGATCAAAATAAAGCTTTTAGTAAGAGCAATATGAATATACATAGTTTCGTTACTTAACAATTATACAATAAAAACATGTTTGTCGTATTTGACTATAAATAGATTCCAGCATTAAACATTCATTATTCTCGTCGGGATATATCACACATAAAGACCAACTTCTATCTTATAAACAGAATATTTCAGTTGTAAAAATAAATTTTCGAACAGTTCGTGCCGACTTAACTAATAGTTTACTTTTTATCAACATAAATAACATTTAATATATCAATGACGAAACATCGGATGTTAAGGGGAATTTAATGGAAGCAGGAGAAATAGATGTATATACTTAATTAATTGATTAATTGTAAACCTGTAAGTATCACATTTCATGGCCTGGAGAATAAACTAAGAATTAAACAAGCTTTAGTCAAAAGTGGCTAAATTAAAAAAAAAAGAAAATTAATCGCAACTAATAATATGAGACATGGGTGGTAAAAATAGAGGGCAATAGACGTGATCTCATAAACAGCTATTATTAAAAAAAGTGAACCATTAAAATTGGATTTAACTTTTTTAGACATACACGCACACACAGGAGATAAATAACAATCAGCTTCATCCTGATATTAGTATAAACGCTTTGTAAACACAAAGATAACATGTTTTCCTACTCTGTGAATCATTAGAACAGATAGCGGCTTACATTGTTATCCATATCTGGTCATCATGCAATATATTTCGAACAATCTGATGAGATATAACCTACTTGTTAAGAACATTTATATATGTAAATATAAAAGGTCAACTACACTAGAAATGGAGAGGGGTAAGAGGAAACAAAGATAATCAAGAAAGTAATGTGAAAACAATTTGAAACCTAATCACTCTGGATAATAATAACCTAATGTTACCAGAGTAAGTTTAAGGTGAGAACAAACTATTTTTTGAATACACAAAGAGGGTTTGAACTTTTATGTGCCTAAGGCTTCAATAAGCTTTAGTATACGCCCTTTTGCACTTTTGTGAGCTAAATCCATTAGAAGATTGATTTATCTTTTCACTTAAACAAATGGATTGGTTGAAGTTAAACATTAGCACCGTTGGATGCCGGCTCAATGGTTCAGAGGTTAAGCATTTGATCACGAGACTAATAGGTCCTGGGTTAGAATCTCGCGAGGCCAGATCATGGATGCTCATTGCTGAGGAGTCCCACAATAAGAAGAAACGGCCGTCCAGTGCTTCCAGATTATCAATGGAGGTTTAGTTTCAATCGACTCCTGAATTCGATTATTAAATGTAATACACTCGGATTTTCTTCTTTACATAAATATAATTTAAAGTTTTTTTTAAAACAAAACACTAAAACAATCATTCATTTTTAATGTACTGTTTTTGCAATATATAAATTAGTAAAAAATAAATCTTCATAGGTGGGTCAAATATTGGTTTTATTAGTAAAGCTTCTGTCTATTTCATTTAAAAGATACATAAATGATCACATAGTAAGCTTATTTATATTTTGCTAAATATTGCGTGAGTTTGTTAAAATGATAATATCATCTGAATAACAGTTCAGGTGGCCAGCTTGAATATCTGGGTTACGTATTCCTGCTATATGAATATTTCAACAAGTTATCTGTTTTTACTTGTTTTAGCATATCATAATGTCCATTAACCGCATAACCTATGCAGGCGCGTTTATGAAAGGCTTACGACTTCTCACTGCACCAGAATGCCCTGGTACAGTCGATGGTGTGGAGAGTCTGCTCTCCCTTTCCAAGTGCTCTCACTTGGCCACGGGTATATAGCCACTATCAGGTAAGTCCTACTCAATGCCTTCTCGCACCAGGAGTGTTGTTTACGAAACTGAGAGTACAAAAAGTGAACGTCCAGCGCTTTAATCGGGTTGGAGTACCTTGATTCCAAAGCAATGGCTTGCATGGGCTCCAGTATCCTGAAAGCTGCCATGGGACTGCATCTCCTTACGTTGCTCCTCTGCTTTATGAATCAGACCTTTAGGTCAAAGGCTCTGAGTGTGGTCCCCCTAGGAAAACCACCTGTTTCGGTCTGGGTGTCCGGGCAGTATCCCAGCTGTCACACAAATCGCATTATTTATGTGGCGCATATGTATTCGGTACCCCTTTGTACCAATATTTATGTGTTCAAATAATAATAATAATAATAAAGTGCTCTACTTCTGTAGCATCAACATATTTGGAACATCAAAACAAACGTATAACTAATTGGTTTCAAAGGTTTAATTTCTGTTTTAATCGGACATGAATGAAACATTGAAAAAAAGTGATATAAATTGGCAAGTTGTCCATTTATATTGATAAATTTTCTTAGTATAATTAGATAGCAATATTGATTTACCTATAAAATTGCGATTCACCATCACCTCCAGGCATTGTGAATCTTGCTTTGTAATTTGAGAAATTGCTAAAAAAGCGTTTATTAAAGAAGAAAGTACTAATTAGCTGTTGAATCATGATAATCTATTTATTTATTTTAAGGCATTGTTGTCAATTGACTTTCTATCAACTAGTAATTGTGCACTTAGTACAAAAACTTTTCTTTTATTTACCTAGTATTGTATTAACAGGACTAGGAGACAACGGCCGCATTCCTACAATTCAGGAACATATGGAACTTAAAACAACTATCTGTCAACCAACATCGAAGTCAGAATCTTCAATACGAACACCAAGGCAGATCTACTGTACGGAGCTGAAACGTGGAGCAGTATCACAACCATTATCAAAACATACGAGTATTGATAAACAGTTGTCTACGCAAAATACTCAACTAGTGTTGACCGGATACCATCAAGAATAGCCTTCTGTGAAAGAGAACAAACCAAATTTGAGCTGAAGACGGAATTAGGAAAAAAACTTTCGAAGTGGATAGGATATATATTGCGGAAATCCCCAAACTGCATCGTGAGGCAATCTCTGACTTGGAATCCAGAAGGGAAACGGATGAGAGGATGACCAAAGAACACATTGCGTCGATAATTGGGAGCAGATCATGTGTCAATTGAGGCTAGACCACCATGGGAAACTTGGAAACACTAGACGGCCGTTTCGTCCCATTGTGGTACTCCTCAATAGAGCGCATCCACAAACCCGCCTCGCGGGATTCGAACTCAAGACCTATCAGTCTCGCGCGTGAGCGCCTTACATCCAGACCACTGAGACGGTATCTAACGGTGTTAGTGTCTAAATTCAACTAGTCCACGAAATCGAGCGACACATTTCAACTATTGAAATTACTACAATCTTCACAAAACCCCTTCTGACAGCTATCAGTACGTGTTATAGTGTCGGTTGCTATGTTAAGTCCACATTGATTATACTAGCTTACACATTTTGACCTTGTTCATTAATCACTTATCAACCTTAACTGATTTTATTTGAGCGTATGTGTGTGCATTTCCCATCTTACTCATTACATGTCTGTAACTTATTTTTTGTGACTAGAAATATCGATTAACGCTTGATTAAATCGAGTTGGCTCTTACGCATTCTCCACTGCGCGTTATTTCGCTTCTCTCACTTCTCTTTACTTTCTTCACATCGTCTCCCCGATTGTCCAGATCGACGAGTTTACAAAATATATGTATTCAAAATTTCATTGTCGTATTTAACTTATTTAATCCGTTATTTACTAACACGATTCATGTCGTTCATTATATACGAGTATTAGCGAGATATATATATTTCGACAGCAATCATTGGATAAGGATCATTTGTCTGATCTAACTGGAGTCAGATATCCCGGTGCCACTAAACATTTTTGTGAATAGATAAGTTCATGAACATTTACTAGCGGACGTTTTAAGTTAAACTTACGAATGATTTTGTCAGAAAGTGAAGCCCATTGTTCTAATTTCTTTCCCAGAATAAAGAAGCTATTTGTGTAGTTGGTAGATGAACTAACATACAAAAGATTTCTATTCAGCTATATTACTTCTAAATATGATTTCACTCATTAAAGATCATTAGTAAAGTTATTTTTCAGGGTTTATTCGAAATGTAATTCACAAAGTATACAAATTATATAACGAGCATTATTCATGTACATAAACCTTTTCTGGGCAATAATATAGAATACTTAATGGACCTTTACTAACAAATATAAGTGATCATTGGTTATGCTCTTGGATAGTTCTAAAGGCTATATCAAACTGGAAAACGACATTTTTCTGAGATCTCATGAACACCGTTGGCATATGATTTCAAAAAACCTTCAAATAGTGTTATATGTGCTATATTCCATCCAGAGATATTTGTTTACCAGTATTACTCCACTAAAATACGACACTGGTCTTTAGCTAGTGTTTATGTTAATAATAGGTTGAATGTTAGTTACTTACTGAATCCATATTATAGGCGAAATCACCAACATGTAATACCACATCATAACTATTTAAATCTTTGACTTGATGAATTAATTCGGGTAGTGAAAGTGCATCAGTTGTCCCCATATCTCCATAAACTGCTATTTTAGGTGACCAATAAGGATGAGATGGGAGAGCATGAAATTTCAAAACATCTGATCAACCATCTGAACTACCACATTTATAATCTGCAAAGCGAAAAATATATGACAAGCCCAAAGACTATCTGAGTTTGACATCTGACACTGCTACTTAAACTGAAAAATCATTTTAGTCCTCAGTTAATTACTAAGTCATTTGCAATAAAATGATATCGATTACTTCATTGCTTATGCTTGTGTGCTAGTGAAGAGGTAGCCTATGCAGAAACTTTACTAATTACGATAAAATTCATCCAGTACAACTAGTGTCCTCTCTGCTGAGAGGAAAGTTTACACTCAGAATAGTATCGACTCTCTCAAAGATGTTACTAATTCGTTGTCTATCAGCTAACGGCAACCATTCCTAAATGTGTCTAGTCTGTTGGTCGTGCATTGTCAGCCAACTATAGAGTGTGCTCTTGACTTTAGTTTTAAGTGTTTCAAGGCGATAAGCAATAAATCAAAAACCAAAGTTTCATGCTAACTATTATGTGAGACCTCGAAATCACAATCGTACTAGATAAAAAGTGGCATTCAGTTTGAAATTTCATTGGTTTCATCCTAGTAAACGTTTATTTAGAAAGGTTTTTATTACTGTTTGGGGTCGCTTACTCCAGGCCTAACTTTCTTCCCCTACCCAGGATTGACATTGCGATAATCCTACTAAGACTTAGGACAGAATTACTTATTTTAGGAGATTAAATTCGAATAATTTATGATTTGTCTAAACTCAGTGTTGTAGCCATGAGAAATCGACGACTCAGCATTTTTCAGGAGAGCTATGAATAAATGCTGTCAGATATGATTCATTCATAACAAAGAGATATATATTCAGAAATGTTATCATATTAACAAATTGTGGATGTCACTAAAGAAAAAAATCCTTTTTATTCATAGAAGGATTTCTTAAACTTACAATAAGTTGTATTAGCAATTAAATCGGATAGGATCACTCGATGTATATACATTTTGCGTTGTTCACGTCCTCCATCAATAAACTGTTTAACGTAGCCAGTACTTTTCATATTTAACAGCATAGTACCATAGAGTACAGTTGAACTCTCTGTATTTTCTTGTGTAACCCAAGTAATACTTATGGTGGATGGTTGCTCTATGATACAAAAATACTGTTATTTATATGGTGTTAAACATGTTCACAAAAATGATTCATCAAAATGAACAGTTAAATCATGTTCATAGAAACAGTTAACACTGTTTCAGTGCCTAGCTATACAGAGGTGTTATACAACATTTCCGAATGATTTTTATTATGAATAAATTGGTTTACTATTTAAAACCTCCGTTTGTATGTACTAAAATTTCAACTTAGATGCACATTTGTATTGAAAGAAAAGTAATCTAAACGACATCTATCAATGTCAAGGATTGACAATAACTTTAAATAAATTGATCATTCAGTATAATATTAATATCAATGGAGATGGACGCGCAATTTCGTGGATTGGTCGAGGTTGGACATTAACACCGTTGGATGCCGACTCAATGATCTAGGGTTAAGCGCTCGCGTGCAGGATCAAAGGTGCTGGGTTGGAATCCCACGAGCAGGATTTTGGTTGCGCACTGCTGAGGAGTCCCACAATAGGACGAAACGGCCGTCCAGTGCTTCCAGGTTTTCAATTGTGGTCCAAAATCAATCGGTCCATAGTCTCAGTTAAAAACATAATAATCTCCACAACACCATACTGTTAATAATAATAATAATAATAATAATAATAATAATAAAAATAATAATAATACCATCATTTTTCTACCGAACAAAATCTATTCACCATTTACTCAAAATAATACGTGTGTAATATACACACTCTGAACACTTTCTATAGTCTATTTATACTGTGGTGTGCGTTACTTATGCACATGAATAGTAAATAATGATAGTCAGGAATAGAATGTATTTCATTAGAAAATCGAGAAGGAAAGAACGGGAACAGAAAGCAATTGGTATGAAAATGCAGGATCAACGAAATCTGAGACGATAGACTGATACTTGCAAAAGAAACAGTCAAGATTGAGAAAATTTACATATTTGGGCAGCATCATTGATGAACAGGGTGGATATGATGCAGATGTGAGGGCGAAGATCGGCAAAGCAAGAGCAGTATATTTACAACTGAGGAACATCTGGAATTCAAAGCACCTGTCAACCAACACCAAGGCCGGGATTTTCAATACAAATGTCACGACAGTTCCACTATATGGGACAGAAACCTGGAGAACTACGGAAGCCATCAGCCAGAAAATACAGGTGTTAATTAACAGTTGTCTACGCAAAATACTTCGGATCCGTTGGCCTGACACTATTAGCAACAACGTACTGTGGGAGAGAACAAAGCAGATCCCAGTGGAGGAAGAAATCAGGAAGAAGCGCTGGAGGTGGATAGGACACACATTGAGGAAAGCACCCAACTGTGTCACAAGACCAGCCCTCACATGGAATCCTCAAGGCCAAAGGAAAAGAGGAAGACCAAAGAACACATTACGCCGAGAAATGGAAATAGACATGAAAAAAAATGGACAAGAATTGGATGGGACTAGAAAAGAAGACCCAGGAAAGAGTGGGTTGGAGAATGCTGGCTGGCGGCCTATGCTCCATTGGGAGTAACAGGCGAAAGTAAGTAATGAATAACCTTGTCAGGAGGAATGTTACGAGCTTAAATAACGAACTTCACATTTCTGCACATTAAAATAAATCCGCATAAAAATACATGAGTTTTCTAAATTTGTTGAAACTTATTTCAACAGAATCGCATTGAACGTTGTTGTGAGTTGAGGAGATGAATTGATGTGTCATTCTGAAATAACTATTCACAATATCTTCTTGTTCCAATGACTCATTCAATCGTGTTTGTTTGATTCATGTGAATTTACTTTGTAATGACCAAACTGGCTGACACCTTTAATGTTTTCTAGTTACCGGAGCGAAATCGTCCAGATAACAAACTAAATACAAAGTGAATCCGAAGTCAAACACATCCACAAACCAGTTCAGGATTTGAGGAAAACAACTACATTCAATATTAGTGAAATCATATAATTCAATTAACGTGCATAATTACTTACGTCTGTCACGTATCGTTGATGATCACTTTGTATTTATGAGCTCATAAATATATATTTTATAACATATCACTAGATTTCTCGCAATTATCTTATATATATACATCGTAGTATATTTCTTGCAGACAACCTGAGTACTACGCTCGATTTCCCCAAACCTTATAAAAGAGACAAACTGGATATTTATAGACCAACCGCATGTAAACTGTGGTGGTGATATTGTCGTCTTCACTTGCTGAGTGTGAATCACTTTGGCTGTATAATACTGTGGCAAGCAACCCAGTTATTTACATTGATGTCACTGAAATGATCAGAAGGTGTGAAGAATGCGTTGATAGATTGCTGGATTTTAAGGCGATTTGTTAATTTACCGATAGAGTTAATGAGGTCATATAATTTTTGGT